GAGAATTGCAGAAGTGTTTATTGAGAGCTTTTGTCTCGACTAGGTATCTGAAGTACTAGTAAGATCAATAACCAGGCCCTTGTGAAGAAGAACTGCACTAAATATAGTAATAATTACAGAAATAATATGCTTTAAAAGAACACAAAACATTTTATTGGGCATAGTTTTAGTTTAGTGTCTAGTTTTTCCAAGCTCTAAAATATTTTGTGTATAAATTGAGTAAAAAAACTCGTGTGTTTCTAGTTTTGCCAGGCTCTAAAATATTTCATTGGGTATAAATTGAGTACAAATATTTTTTTAAAATCTTTATAAATCATGAACAGCTAGAAAAGTCATGGACCTTTATGAATATTGTTGTGGACAACGGGAGTCTGAAAGGTTGAGAATGTTGTATATATAAGAGCACAACAAAAGATAATTAAAATAATCATTTAACATTTACTTTTAAACTTCTAATTATAAAGTGCAATGTTTTTTTAATCTTGAAGTGTGTTAAGAGACATACTCGTGGAAGTTTCTCTTTAAGTTGGCCTTTTATTTCATTAATATTATATGCAAGTACAGTTATTTAAAAAATAGACTTAAGTTTTGAAGTGCGCTACAAGTGCAATACAATTAAGCACTTTTTCACGAGACGGTATAAGTGATGTGAACTGGAAGGTTTATGATTGCAGTTATGATATGCTGGACATGTGGATGAAGCGTGATAACCTCATCTGTGAGTTCAGAGTTAAAACTTTGCTGTTTCTCTGTGTTTTGGGGGTGTATTAGGTGTTAGTCTCACTCCCCCCCCCCCCCCCCCCCCCCTCCCCTCGCTTACTCTCACACACACACACACACACACACTTTTCCCCAGAGGCATTACCACCAACAGTTCCCGTCTGCCTCACCTCAACTCATAGAGTCTCTGCTCTCTTTCATCTGTGGCTACTGCGCTGTTGTGATGCTGTAATTATCATCATCGTAACTGCTGGCAACAGAGCTGTGAAGGAAAGGTGTGTGTAAGATAAGTCCAGACAGCCACGGGTCTCGTGCTGCCTTGGGAAGCGCCAGTGTACGAGATCGGGAAGCCGTAATTATGACGTGAGATGCGTTCGAGCGATTTAGGATGTGAAAAAAACCCCGGGCAATTTCATTTTTGCTAATATGCAAACTGCATAATTTGAGAATGATGGGATTGGGATGGTGATTGTCTTATTAACACGCTAAATGAACAGTCCTTTCAAGCTTTATTGCTTTTCTTCAGCAACAGGATGCAAAATGCGCTATTGCAAATAAGCAATATAGAGAAATCTGGAAACGCTTTACTTAAAGCCTTTATGTGTAATGCATTATAATCATAATGTACATTGTAATGCATTATAGCTTTTCATATATAATAGTTCAAATGCATTATAATATTTGAAAGTTTGTTTATCGTGTTTTAATGCATTATAAAGGTGTAAAAATGAATAGATGAGTATTGTAATTGTAAAGTTACACATGAGATCATACAATGCATTATAAGGCATAGTTAAACTACTTTTATAATGCATTATTTATAAAGACCTTAAGTATAATGTTACCAGAAATATTTTTTACAGTGTAACCATATATAAACATAGATAAACAGTAATATTGTAAAATATTTTAAATACCGTTTTTCTGTTTTAATGTACTTTAAAATTTTGTTTATTTCTGTGATGCAAAGCTGTATTTTCAGCATCATTCCTCCAGTCTTCAGAGTCACATGATCTTCAGAAATCAGTATAATATGCTGCTTTATTATCAATGTTGGAAACAGTTGTGCTGCTTAATATTTTTTTAAAGCCTGTGATACTTCTTTCAGGATTCTTTGATGGATAGAAAGTTAAAAAGAACAGTATTTATTTTAAATAAAAATCTTTTCTAACAATATAAGCCTTTACTATCACTTTTTAGGAATTTAACACATCCTTGCTGAATAAAAGTATAATAAAAGAAAAAAATGTACTGACCCCAAACTTTTGAAAGGTGGTGTATATGGTTACAAATGTAGTAAATATACCTACTTAACTTATTATATATATATATATAAACAAATGCAAAGGGGGGGATCTTTTGTTTTGTTTTTTAATTGCAGACTGTGTCGTCAGAGTTGGTATTGTGGTGTTATCAGACACTTGCACTTAACATTTTATGAAAATCTAGCTCAAATGGAGTTAACGGTTTTCGACCAGCGAATGACGGCATTATGTGTTTCGTCCGTCATTAACAGCCGCATCTGAGGCAGTGAGTGCATCGCATCACGTTTTCATCAACGTACAGGTTATAAAGTTTATTGTAGCTATATGGGAACTCAGATGTTCTTGTGGTTTAATACACTTAGCCAACATCTCATGATATAAAAGATGAAGTGCTATGCACAGGATATTTAAAACGTACAAAAGTAGTACATTGGTTACAACTAGACGGCAAAAGACTGCTCTTCAAACACACACACACACACACACACAAAAACATCAGATAGAAAATTGATGGCTCTTTGATGAATTGCTTTTTTGCAATAAAAGCATGTGCTAAATGCATAACAGTAAATGGAGATTAATGATAATGGCACTATTTGTGTTTTGGCTTTTAGATACTTTCCAAAAGTTGCAGGCAGGCAAATTTTTCTACATTTTTCTGGCAAATAGCAGTATGCATGAGCAGTTAGGGCGGTCTCTTCATCAGTGCTTGTCGGTAGACGGACACATGCGTTTGGGGGTTGAGTGTGTTTAAACGTGCCTCTGTTGTTATGTCTGCGTCTCTTTTGAAGTTCCTCAAACCTCCAACTAAGTGGCACTCATTTTCCCCATCTCACAGACCTGGCCGAATTATTTCCAGATTGTGGCGCGGTGCCAGAGGGAGACGTAACGTAGCTCCAGCAGCATCACAATAACGTCTTGTTAAGAAGCAACGAAATGAAATTGACCTCGATTCTAATAAACGCACGCACGTCTACCCTCAAGACAACAGGAATAGATACACAGCCTTTAAAGACCACTGTGGAAATTTTGCTTATCTCACTTTCACTCAGTCAGGAAATGGAGTTTTTCTCAGTTACAGTAATCTGAAGCACAGTCGAGCACAGTTTGGGGATGAAAAAAAAACAAAATCCTTCATTCATGTGTCCAGTATCTAAAAGAATGAGTAAAAGAGATGCTTGTGAAGACTTGTGTAACTCACCTTCATCATGTCTTCATGCAGATGTCGGGTGGAATGGCATCCTCTAATGTGGTGATGCACCAAAAACTCAGATGAATTGACTGAAACTGTGATGCTTAATTAGTGCTTCTCTAATGGAGCGTTTCGTGGATAAACTACAGCAGGTAAACATGTCAGCTGTGTGACGCTAGTGCTGGATGAACAGTACTGATTTCTGGGTTTTAAAGGCATAGTTGACCCAGAAATGAAAATTGTCATCATTTATTGACCCTCGCGTTGTTCCAAACATGTCGTTTCTTTTGTCTTTTGAACACAAAAGAAGATATTTTGAAGAATGTTGGTAACCAAACGGTTGCTGGTAGCCATTGACTCCTCATACAGGTTTGAAACAACTTGAGAGTGAGTAAATGATGACGGTTTTCATTTTTGGGTCAACCGTCCCTTTAATTGATCTTTATTTTGATGAAACTATAGATTCCTAAATAGTCTATATTAGTCTGTCCTGTTTTCTGTTGATGTGTGAACAAAACATCTCTAAACATTATTTGTCCAATAATCGCAGTGAGATTTATGCTTATGTTGAAATAAACAGTACAGCTTAGTATCACGTCTCATGTAATCACCCAATCATTGTTTTTTAACCAGCTTATAAACAATAATGTCATGTCAAAAAAGGCATTCAGTGTCCATAAACTTGCTAATCAACTAGAAATGAATAACTCCAGAGAGGAGCATTTTGCAATGTATGTGCACTATATTTATATTATCATTATACATTTATTTAGCCTGTTGGCGATATCCGTTTTTTTTAATTATTTTTTTTATTACAGCCACAGTTTAAGTTTTTATATTACAACAATGAATCGGAGCACGAACAATTATATCATTAAAAAACGTCATTAAAAGTTTGTACAAGTCAGTTTTTTTATTAAATAAAATTTTAATGAATAAATTAAATAATCAAATTTTGTTGCTTTGCAGCCTGAAATGAAGACGGACACGGTTTTTGTTTTATCCAGCTGTATTAACTCAGTGCAACTTATAGCATCCAAGTGAAAGATAGAACACACACATGTTATATTCAGCTTCAGTTTTAAAGCAGTTTAGCAATCTAAATTAAAAATGCAATTTCAGTTTTGGTAAAAATTAATTTCGGTGCATCACTATTTGAAGCTGTTACTTAAAAAAATGCACTAAAAAGTAGATAGTTGATTATTTGTATGACTAAAAAGTGCATGACGTATCAGTTTTATTTCATAGATTGAAAACAGATTGAACATTACGCAAACTGGCCATAGAAAATGCTATTGGTATTGAGTATTTAAATGACAGAATATGACATAGTCTGAAATAAACCAGATTATTTATCTTTGTGGCTTTAATCCTTGGGTTTGATTGCAGGTGTTTAATGGTGAGCACCCATTATACAGAAGGAAGAAAATGGACTTTTCACATAAATGTGGCCACACGTGGCAAATCTGTCAAATTCTGTAGGAAACGCCATCTGAAAGTCTCTCTCACATGTGCACGCACTCAGTCAGAAGAAATGCAGCTACTTCCAGCCATGCGACCGCCATGACACATCGTGTCAAACAACATGCTGTTAGCATTAGCAAACTGGATTTCACATGAGTTATTGAAGGCCATTTGTAAACACAGAGATGAAAGCAAACAAGCTCTTGTGCTGCTGGCCTTGATCATCAAAGCCGTATCGATCAAATGGCTCCTTCCCATTGATTCCTTCAGCAAATGTATTCAGCATCTGACACGCTCGCACGCCGCCTTTCAAGCATCCAACTGACCAACATCTTATTGTGTGTGTGTGTTTCTTGCAGTCCAACAAAGTGTCGGTGGTCCAGCAGGGGATGCATCCTCTGACGCCGCTGCTGCCCTACGATCACTTCAACCCCAGTGCTCCACACATTCCCACAGACGTCAGCCAGAAACCAGGTAACACATGATCAAACTCATGGTTTTGCTCTAGAATCCCACCGGATGAGCTGCATTCGCAGCAGTAAAATAGCTAATACACACACACACACACACACACACACACACACACACACACACCAGTGTTGTTATTTTGTCATGATGTCCTTCCAAACCAGTGAGCTGCAGTTTGTCAGTGGAACACACACACACACACACACACACAAACAAAAAACAAACATTGCAATACGGTTCATAGTGAGCACATCCGTCTAGCTCCAAAAAGGTCGAGAAGAAAACTGCAAAAATGCCATTATAAATATGGCTGTCGAGCAATTAAAAATGTACATGATGTGCCGATTCATTAATCAAATTAACCCACAAAAGCGTCATTATTTAAAGTCATTTTAATGAGAAAAGTGTTAAAGGTAGAGCAGATGATTTCAGAGAGGCTAGCGATAGCAAGCTAGCTTTAAAAGCATAAGATCCCACCCTCCCTGCAAATCACTCTTCAAAGCCACGCCTCCTCCAAAACACATTTTGGATTGAATGCTTCGCTGTCAAATTTCCTCATATCTCATTCACCAGTGAGAAAAATTACAGTACAAAGCACATAACAGGCAGGTAGGACAGCCTATCGTAGTCCTCGGACTGAGGAATATGATTGGACAAACATTTTATGGTTCTTCCACAGACGATATAAATACATCTAGACCAGTTAACTTAGTGAATATGGGGATGTGAAGAGAAAAAAATGTTTTTGAACCAAATCACTTACCTTTACCCTTTCAAGAATGAAACAAGTGACTGGCTGCATTCGAAATTGCATACTTCCCTACTATATAGCAGGCGAAAAACAGTATGTGACAAAAAAAGTATGTCCGAATTCACAGTGCTCATAAAAGAGTAGGCAGTGCAGGGAAGCGACTGAAGCTGGTAGGTCACGTGATAATGACAACATGGCGAATGTAGTTCGTCCAGATTACATCCATACTACACACATTCATACTATATAGAACGTACTTTTTTAGCAGTTTCAAAGTAAATACTTGTTCAAAATCATGAAAATATGCAATTTCGGACACAGCCTCTGTCTTTATGAATGAGTCACTGAATCATTGACTCACTTGATTCGTTCAAACGGCTGATTCATTCAAGAATGAGGCAAGTGAGTGTCATTGTGAATGAGTCACTGAATCGTTGACTCACTCAATTCGTTCAAACGGCTGATTCATTCAAGAATGAGGCAAGTGAGTGTCATTGTGAATGAGTCACTGAATCGTTGACTCACTCAATTCGTTCAAACGGCTGATTCATTCAAGAATGAGGCAAGTGAGTGTCATTGTGAATGAGTCACTGAATCATTGGCTCACTTGATTCAATCAAAAACAAGGATTCATTCATTACTGAATCACCGCTGTGTTGTGTGTTGAGACACAAAACCGTTCTGCTGTGGCTTTGATTGGAACAATTTTTTGTTTGTGAAGCTGAGCAAAAACAGACAACACAGACAATACTGTCTCAAGCAATATGTTTATTGAACTATTGTATTAATTCAATATCACATTTAAAATTGTGCAGATGTTCAGGAAATGAGAGCACTAAACCATATCATGTCATTTAAATATAAGAGGGGCATTTTTGCCATCATTTCTTGTATTTTAGGGCATATAACCGCATTCTCACTGGCTTTATCACGCAGTCAGTCGTCCTGCAGCATCTGCATCAATGTACGATGACGTACAGATGTGGGCGGTATTTTTTCCAGTATTAATCACGCCAGATGAACACATTAAACAGCCCTAATTATAAAGGTCTGCACCATATTCTTTTGAAATCTTAAGATGCTTTGTGTGAGGAACAGACCTGCATCTCAGTCACTGTTCACTGATAATCTTCCCCTCCGCTGAAGCTCAAACCCGCCGCCGCCTACTTTTATGCTGTTTTTTTACCTTTTTTTTGTCTCGACAGCTGTGCTTAATATGAGCTGTTATTATACAGTAAGAGCTCCTTAAAGCCCCTCAGAAGTATCTTCTTTTGCATTTTGTGAGTGTTCAGTGTTCAGTTGTGGATGAATGATTCCTTTAACTCAGCAACTGTAAACAGCCTACAATTAATATGCTATACTTAGACCACAGTGTATTTCATGTCATGTTTGTTACACAACTTTATAAAGCCTCTAAATGATCTGAAAAGTGATCAATAATTTCTAAGGCCTTTTAGTGTAATTGCACAAACATCCACCTTCAGCTTGTGCATCATGAGCATTTTTTTTTTTTAAATTAGCTTTGACATTGTTAGTAATATTTCAAGACGAACACGTATTGAAGCAAACTTACTCATCCAGACATCATTTTTTAGAAAAATCAGTGAGTCTCAAATCTGACCATCAGGCTTTTGAGGAGCGTTTATTTGTTCATCTCTCAATCATCATTGGATTGCATTGCATTATATGTTTTGATCATCAAACTAAGCATTAAATATCATCTTACAAAGGAGATATAGAGTGACGGCTGATAATTATATCATTTTATGTAAGTGTCCGCCATACAAGCATCAGAATTGCATCACTTTTTAACCATTTAAAGATCAGCATCTGCACCAAGTTGCATATCAGTTTGAGTCTCTGAATAAAATACTATATGAGCCATAAAAGCCTGTTGTATCAAATATGATGCTCAAAAGTGACCATGTTTGTTGGATGACTAGTCGTCTAGCCAAGTGTTATTATGACCCATCCTTACTACAGTAATGAGTGCATTGCTTTGAAATTGATTGTTGATGAAGTAAATGGAGTAGAAACGACAGATGCCTGCATATTTCCCATTAGCTGTAGCTCGATCAGGTCAGACACCTGTCCTCATGTCAGCTCACTTCATAGTGTGTGTAAATCAGTGAACTGTGCCAGACTCAACCGCCGTGACCCGACGCGGGTCTGAAATGTGTCACGGCTGTACATCCAGGTAAAGTACATGGTGGAGGCACAAACACTGAACGTTTGAACCTCTGACGCTTAATGTATGTGAAGGGTTTATGTTTTACTGTACTTGGTTTGATATCCTGATGGTGTTTTCTCTGCGCTTGCGGTCCAGTCATCTCAGGCATGGGTTTGATCGGTTTCACTTTCACGGCTTATATTGAAGGACACCTTTTAAAGGCAGCCCATTTGCCGTTCATGTTTTCCATCAAGAATTGCTCATTTTGTACACTGGGAATGTTTTGACGGCATTTTGAAAATGAGTTATTATAAGAAATGTTAACTTGCAGTCATAACCAATAACTGGGGTTGGAAAGAAATTCATATACTGTATTTGTAGACAGTTTGGAAACATTATGATTCGTAAATGAAGTCTGAAATATTATTACTGTTTTCTGTTTGAATATATTGTAAATATCTTCTGCATCATTACTCCAGTCTTCAGAAAATGTTTCACACAAAATATTAAAACTGTTTTTAACATTGATAATAATAATTACACTGATTAATAACTGAGCACCAATTATAATTGAGCTGCAAATCAGCAGATTAGAATGATTTCTGAAGATCATGTGACATATTGAAAATTCAGCTTTGATCACAGAAATATACATTCACATAGAAAACATTTATTTAAAATTATATATATGTGTCCCTGCAGCACAAAAGCAGTGTTGAGTCTCTGGGGGATATCTGTAGCAATAGCCAACAATACATTGTATGTCTCAAAATTATACATTTCTCTTTTATGCCAAAAATCATTAGGATATTAAGTAAAGATCATGCTCCATGAAGATATTTTGTAAATTTCGCTCGTTTGCAAGCCATGATCTCTCGAGGAAAAAAAAATATTGCACTCGCCTCGCACGGTAGTAGCTCGTTTTCTCATAGGCGGGCCAAATTCTCTGGGCGGGCAAAGCAGAGAAAGGGGAGGTAACCTTTCCCCGTATGACGACATAAAGGGAAGATTCCAGATTGGGCCATCTGAGCTTTCATTTTCTCAAAGGCGAAGCAGTATACCCAGGGCTCGGTTTACACCTATCGCCATTTCTAGCCACTGGGGGACCATAGGCAGGCTAGGAGAACTCATATTAATGTTAAAAAACCTCATAAAGTGACATTTTCATGCCATGGGACCTTTAAAATAGTTGTATCTCAGCCAAATATTGTCCGATCCTAACAAACACATACATCAATGGAAAGCTTATTAATTCAGCTTTCAGATGGTGGAATTTCAAAAAATTGACCCTTATGACTGGTTTTGTGGTCCAGGGTCACATATATATATTTTCACAATATTAATGTCTTTACTGTATTTTTGTGCACATAAATGCAGCCTTGGTGAGCAAAAAAAATATATATATAATTTAATAAAAATATAAAAAAATCGTAATGTTTCCAGTACTGTAACTGCTGCACACACGTTTAAAAAAATAAATAATTTTAGCACACATTTCCCATTCATTTAACATATGGAGTATTTACAGAATTATATAAAAGTTAAATGATATGCAAATAAAAAAGAAATACTGTATGTCTATACAGTGTTCAAATCATCTGCTACAATAATCAATCTCCATATGTACAATTATTCATGGTTAATTTGCTTAGCATATAAAGTAAATCATTAAATTACATTTTAATTACACTAATCTTCCGTAAGAGGTCTGTCGTTTTAAAAATTATGATGTGAAAAACGCAGACATCGAATCGTTCGCAAAAAGATCTATAGCATGCGTTTAGTTAAGAGATGCTGACTTTAACAGTCTCCGGCTTTTGTCTTGAGGCTTTGTAGTGAAACGTGAGCTGCAGGTTCTCAGGTAAAGCCGATCGACTCAGTCACATTCCAGCACGGCAGATTTATTGAGGGTTCGCTTCACAAACAGGCCCAGAGCAAATGCAAATTATAGTCATCATGCAGCATTCTTCAGCAAACACAGGTTGCTTGGGGTCGCTCTTAACTGTGGGGTGCTGCGGACAAATTACTTCCTGCAGAAAAGCACAGTGACGCTGCTGCTTTGTTGTTCTCACAATTATAAAATCATATTTACTCTCAAAAATGAAGAAAACCTAGACGGCATTAAGATGAAATCCAGTCCTGACCTCTGTAATCTGGTCTGCGTCTCCTCTAGAGTTTCAGAAGACTTCTCAACAGTGTCTCAAAGTGTGCTCAGATTTGCCAAAATGCCAATTAAAGGTCAGAGATCTCAATATGAGCGGCTCTCCAGCTCTGCACTCCTACTGTATGACAGCTACTGACTCATCTAAGTGTCATTTCCATATCTAATAAGGCATTTTTGGAGAAACATCTGTTGATGCTTGAATTAATCATAACTGAAAGTGTACTGAAGATATGAAAGAACAGCCTTCGAGAGATCTGTGCTGCTTCTCAAGGCTCTTTACTGTACGGTGTTGTGTAACTAAAATCACCCAAGAGTAGGTCATAAACATGACATTTACAGTATAGTGCAGAATGGGACAGGATTTCTCATCTGCGACTCGATATATGAGGACGTGAGCACATGAACTTCATCTCCAGAGCTGCTCTGAGACTCACTTTATCAGCAGTTCACCAATTCATTTGAGAAAAACTACCATCACTGAAACTCAAAGCTCTTTACAACAACACGCCAAAATAAAAGTCAAAGAAATTATGACAGAAATGCATTACTATTGTACAGTAGACTGCGCTGCTCAAATTAAAAAATGATAATATAATAATTAAAGATTTAAGGAATAACACACACTTTTTCTTCCATGTTTTAATTTAAACAGTAAACCTAAATATAAATGCTAAAATCCAAGGAATTGTTGCATTTTCAAATTGTTAATGTTTTTGTCCATGTATTTGATTACCACTGTTTTTGATAATAAATGTGTATTAAATCATTAAATTAAAAGACAACAGAATTTCTAAAAATAAATAAATAAATAAATACAACATTTCATCTGGCCCTATTTTTGTAAATAATAATAATAATTTATTAAATTGTTATTAAAGTTTTTTTTAAATCAATTGATTAGACATGCTTTTTAATTATTAAATGAAATTAATTAAACCATTAAAAATGTATTTAGAAAAAAACATAATTACATTATTTTCATTAGGCTGTAAAAAAGTAATTTTGTTCTATCATTTAAAAACGAATTATTCATATTTATTAAATATTAAAATAGAACAAAATAAATATAGTTCTATTTTAAATAATTGCTGTGCATTTTAACTTTTTATTCGTTAAAGAATCCTAAAAAAAAAAAACATATCACAGTTTCCAAACAAATATTAAGCAGCACAACTGTAAATAAAGCAGCATATTATACTGATTTCTGAAGATCATGTGACACTGAAGACTGGAGGAATGATGCTGAAAATACAGCTTTGGTCACAGGAATAAATTATATTTTAAAGTATATTAAAATATAAAACCGTTATTTTAAATTGCAATAATATATTGACAATATTACAGTTTATTTTCTGTATTTTAATCAAATAAATGCAGCATGATGAACAGAAGAGACTTCTTTAAAAAACAGTAAAAATCTTAGTGATTTCAAACTAAGATATATATATATAGTCATTGAACTCCAATGCTACACATACACACACACATTTCTCATTTCTTCATAATTTCTCTTGCGGGCTCCGTGTGAAGCATCACACTCATGAACAGTAACTGCAGGAAAAGACACTCATCTCTTTCTCTCTGGCCGTCTGGCTGGGGTTCGAGGCGTTTGTTCTTTGAGACAAGGCTGGTGTAATGGTAGGTTCCCAGCGTGTTAATAACAGCTGTCCTCCTCTCGCTGTCTTACAGGAGTTCACAGGCATCAGTCGCAGGAAATCTCCGGTTTCTACCAGCTGCCTCAAGGCCAGATCCCCCCGTCCATGAACTGGTAAGACTGAGCCACACGCCTCACATCTACAGACCCTTCAGCTTGGTTTGGAACTATTTTGACAATATTGGGTCTAAAATATCACTCACGCCATATTAACATTTTATTTGTTGAACTGTTGTATAAAATCAATACAACATTTACAATCACGCTCACGTGCTGATATTCAGGAAAACAGCACTGATGCATGTGTAACTGCATCATATCTTATAAATATAAAACACAAAAGCCATCCAGAGATATTTTGTTGCTTTCATACTTGAATTATAGGGTGCATTCTAATAGGCTTCATCACGCAGTCAATGCTTTTGGACTCTCAAGACGTGTTTTTGTTTGTTTTGAATCGATAATGTCAGCTCGCATATCATTCATCATTCATCGCTTAGGGTTGGGCGATGTCTACCAAATTGGCAAGGGACGATGTGTACAGTGAAACGGGTTATATAGGGCTGGGTTAAAAAGGGACAAACCCAGCTATTGGGTTGTTTTGAGGTTTGAGGGTGGGGGATGCAATACGAACACAGACTTATCAGCTTATAAAAGGGAGGAGAAAACGTTCCCATATCTTTTGTTATGAATGGCAAATGATGTGAATGTGAGTGAAAATGTCATATTTGGCATGCAGATGCAGATACAGACCCTTGATGTGAAGAATGACACTCATTCCTCTGTTTGAGACTTTAAATGTGAAGCAGCCAAATACTTTTTTGGGCCACTGTACGTTTAGATGTGTAGAAACGTACTGGAACGCAATAAAAAAGCGTAATGTAATGACTACACATAATGTAATAAATGATATTATTTAATATAATGGATTGGAATATTTTATATAATTATATAATATAATTTAATGATCAAAATGCAATCATCTTCTCCAGTCTTGAGCTCATATTGTAATTTCCCACAATACAATAGTGTATAATATATTCATAGTTCATAATGATATAGCAGCACATAATATACTGTATAAATTAAACAATGTTTACAATATATTAATTCTCTCTCAATGTAATTTGCTCTGTGATTTTATGACCTGTGACATCAATTTGTGCCACTTAGTATTCCCGTTTTAGTTTATTTATTTACTATTGGTTTTTAAAGTTACCGATTTTGTATTTTAAGATTTAACTGTTTAGTAAGTAGTTTAAGACAAGATTGAAAAAATTGAAATTTTTATTAAATTTGACTGTTTTTGCTGCACTCGTAATACATTTCCCGCAGTGTAACTTTTTTTAAATATTAAATTTTGAACATTTTATTTATTATTACTTATTATTTGACATGATGTGCAGTTATTACATTGTTTAGAGCTGATATGAATCTCTCTGGTACAGTGGCGAGCTGATTTGGAGAATCTGGATGTAAGTTCAGAGACATTCAGCTGATGTTGTTTGAGTGTCAGATTGATCTGACAGATGTTTTCATCATACACAGTGTGCTGGAGGATATATGTATTGGCTCCGTATGTGTGTGGATCTGAGGATTGAACCCGTGTGTTGGTGTTGCTGGCATCATGCTACATTTGGGTCGAGAAACATGAAAAATGCACTGCTGTAAAGTGACGAATCAGAAGAAGAGATGAAACTGGACGCTAGTGTGAAAATGAAAAGTGTCGTATGTGAGATTCTTAGAATTAGGCTTTTTAAAGGGAGGGTTGTAATGGTCTTTTTATTTAGAGGAATTCAATAAAGGATTTAAGGGGGAATAATAATAAAAAAATAGTAAATGAACAAGTATGAGATTTGAACTGTGCAAATAATATTATTTCAAAATATGCACACATTCACTCTATTTTGTATGTACCGTATTGGCCCGAATATAAGACGACCCCCCTTTTCCCAGATGTACTTTTTGGGAAAAGGCTTTTTAAAAAAACAAATCTTGTTTTTTCTCAGTAAAACACATTTTGTCTTCAATTATTTTCATATTGCATATTTTCCTATTTTAATTTTTGTTTTGAAGGTATGGTAAAAACTGGTAAAATGTACCAACAATCACATTTAAAAAATATATACACTTTTTGATATAACATAAAAACGGGTAGCCCATCTGAATTAGGACATTTAGGCTATCCGTCTAATAGTAGCCTACCACAATCTTATTAACAGTAGAAGTTAAATCTTACTGTAGTCTTCAAATCTGGGTACTGTCTTACGTTTTAAAATCACAAAGAGTTTGGTCCCATCAGGCTAACGTGACCGTCACGACTCATGCAGCTGTAAGCTTTTCTTTCTCTTTTGTTTTCACTCGCGATCTTTACAACACGCATTACATTACGTATTTCATGGCACACTCGTTTTATGCGTATTTGGCGCCACCTATTGTTGTGGGTGTATTATTGACATGTCAAAGTCTAGAGCCTGAATATAAGACGACCGCGTTTTTTCAGATGTATTTCCAAGAAAAAAAACATCGTCTTATATTCGGGTCAATACGGTAAATGGTTCAGCCTATATTGTTTTTAACATCGTTGGATATTAACAGTTCGTTTAACATCGATCATAAAACATTTGAATATTAAATGTTTAGCTACTTACATCTTACCTCGCATGCTTTCATTGTTAAAAATTCACGCTCGGTAACTGTGAACAGTAAAGCTCCGCCTTCTTTGATTTGATTGGTCAGCTGGAACATTTTGACGTTGACGAACACTGAGGCAGACCAGAATACGCGATCCGTAATACGCGATCCGATTGGAGCGCGGGATCATTTCGATCATTTGGAGCGCTTCGAAACAGTGAATCATTTTGCGACGCGATGGTTTAACTGATTCGGAGTTTCAAAAAGCTCCGTTGTGTTCGTTCTCTATATAGTTTATTCGTTGTTTGAATAACCCTGGAAATGAAATCATTTCAATTAATAGGCCTAATGTACAATGTTTTTATTAAACTGTGATCACGTTAAATACAGTTTCCGTCGTATTAAAAACATTTCATAAAAAGTTCCTCCGTTGGTCAGACAGACAGTTAGTCCCGTCCCAAACGCATTCAGAGTTGGTAAAGCAGTGCAGCCTTCAGGAAATCTTCCTGGTGAACCCGCCGGAGGCTCTAACTCTGTCCCCCGACCCACAGGCCCAATCAGCCTGTCTATCCTCTGCCCTCCTGCAGCTTCAGACAGTCCTTCTCCTCCAGCCTCCAGAGCAGCTCCTCCTTCCCCAGGTACAGTACCAGCCCTCACCTGTGCTTCCCGCTGACCGCATCGCGACGCTTCAGCCGTATGTGTGTCGCCGCTGAGCTCAGAACCACCGAACCGCCTGTTAAAGGCCCGAACTACAGCTAAACTGAGCCACGCTTAAAGGAACGTTCCGGCTTCAACTCTGATTCGCCCTTTATTCAGCATTGAATAACACTAGCAGTGCATTACTAGTAGTTTTACATAGTTATGACTCGAGTCCGATCAGAATCCATCCTGCTTTAAAGAGCTTGAGCATTTAAAGTTTCAGACGACAGAACTGCAGCGCGCTTGTAATAAACAGAATGTTATTGTGATGTTGGTTGTTCTAGCTGTCATTATTTGTGTGAACATGCCTTATGGAAATGCATTTTTCCCCCCGTTTTTCAACTGAGAGTTGAAGCACATGCTTTCAGCAGAGCTTGAGTTGAATGAACCCGGAACGTTCCTTTAATTAAGGTTACGAGAGATCATGCTGTACTGTGAATGCTGGCACAGCTAGCGTGCAAATACACATTAAATGGCGTCCTTACTTTTGAAGATCTAGTGGTGGTATGTATACTAAGGAATATGGGGTGTTATGGGTCAATTTGATAAGCTTATTTCTTCTTGAATTTCTTTCTTATTTAGAGTCGTGATTGTGCATGCAAAGTTTCGACCCATAGGTGTGTTTTGCAAAGACCTGGACACATTTTGGTGACTGATTGTGTTGGGGGTCAGATCGGCCCCCTTTTGGTTTTCATGCACTTTGACAGATTTTCAATAACAGCAAACGTTCAGGTAAAAACACAGAAAACCTTTATTGTAGCTTCTCAAAGACTAAATATGAACCGGACTCCGAGACTCGATGTTTACTTGAAATTGCAATCATCTGGGAAGATTCACTGTTTCTTCATCTATTTGAAGTTTCTATTGTGAAAGTGTTTTTTTTTTAATCTCAGTTACTAGTCTGTTACAGCACTGAAAATAAATGTGAGAAACCCATTTTACCATCACAAGGGTTTGAGAACCAGACATAAAAAAGACAAAGGCTCTATTCAATTTTGGATACTATTTACACTTGCGGTGACACTGAGCCGCACCTCAGTGTTTTTAAATGCATATAAATAAAAAAAATTATGCTCAACGAGGCTGCATTTATTTGATCAGAAATACAGAGATAAAAAAACAACAGGAATATTGTGAAATATTATTACCGTTTAAAATAATGGTTGTCTATTTTAATATACTTTAAAATAGTTTTTTAAAAAAACATTTATTCAAAATAGAAATATTTAAGTCTTTACTATTGCTTTGTATCAATTTAATACATACTGAATAAAAGTATTAATTTACTGACCCCAAACTTTTGAACGGTAGTGTATATTGTACCAAAAGATTTATATTTTGAATAAATGCTGTTTTAATAAATATTTGAATATTTGAATCCTGAAAAAAGTTTCACAGTTTCCAAACAAATATTAAGCAGCACAACATGGATAATAAATCAGCATATTATACTGATTTCTGAAGATCATGTGACACTGAAGACTGGAGTAATGATGCTGAAAATACAGCTGCGCATCACAGAAATACATTACATTTTTATTTATCATTTTTCTGTATTTTAATCAAATAAATGCAGCCTTGATGAGCAGAAGAGACTTGTTTAAAAAAAATTAAAAATCCTACTGATCCCAAACTTTTGAACTGCTGTTCACACACACACACACACACACACACACACACACACACACACACACACACACACACACACTCACTCACACACACACACACACACACACACACACACACACTCACTCACACACACACACAGTCTCACACACAGTCTCACACACACACACACACACACACACAGTCTCACACTCACACACACAGGTTTGTTTTTGTGAAAAGTGGGGTCATCCCATAGGCGTAATGGTTTTTATACTGATTTTTGTCAAATTGCATGGAAACCAATAGGGGCCCATTTTGGCACAAACATCACACCCACAACACAACAGGAAGGTTAATAGTTGTTCTCTGTGGAAATAGTTACGCTGAACAATCAGAAGAGCGCTCTTCTTGTGTTTTTCAAGCTCAGCTCAGTCTCAAAGTGGATTCAGTGAAGCGATGGTTCCTCTCCCGCTCAAAGACGCCAGCCCAAATCGCTGTGGCTTTTCCCATCAGACGTCAACTCTGTGCTCAAATCCTTCCTTTGTAACCCAAAACCTGAATTAGATTAACAAATCATGTTAATATGCTTACATGCAGTAATAAATCCAAGCTGTGGAGATGGTTTTATTCGGATGTCAACAGACTGCGCACATCTTTGTTCAATTCTTCTTGTGTCAAGGGCACAAATCCGAAACCGAGTCCTGAGCTCCGAGTGTGTCGGCTCTCTGCTGTCCTTCCATCAGGGTTTGCTGAGCAAATATTAGAGCTGCTGTAGAGTCAGCTTTGAAATGAGATTGAAGAGTTTTATTGAATGCTTCAGACAGCGTGCTTGTTTTCCCTCAGGCAGGAGAGGTTGTGTGTGTGTTGCAGTACATGCTTGCGGCGCTTCAGCGGTGCAGATAGAGCGCCAGCTGCTGGTCACATCACGCATTGACGCTTCATTAAGAGGGAACTCAAACAACACGTTTTTTTCTGTCATTGCAAAGTCTTTTCTAATGCATCCTGTGTTTACTCTGATGTGTTGGTGAGTTCCCTTTTAATACAGATAGAGCTTGAGAATCTCATTGTGTGGGCTGAAATAACTGTGATGTTCATGTGTGTGTGTAGGTTCTCTCATTCTCTGATGCTTCAGTCCGGCATGCACCCTACAGGCATCCCACACCCCGCGATAATGCCTCCCTCCGGCAAACAGGAGCACGACCAGTTCGACAGGAACATTTATGTGTAAGTTCTCCTGCAGATCTGATGCTTTCAGCTCTCAGTGCACAGAAGAGGCCTGCAAACTCTTGAAGCCCTCGCGGTAGTTTTCTGAAATTCAAGCACACTCCGATCTTGTTTTGTTGTATGTTTGTGCCATTTTTTAAAATTACCACATTTTGGTCACAACACCAAAAAGGCAACCTCTCTAGAAGTTCTAGAGCAACTGTTTGGTGCTGTGAGATCTGTAATGGTCTCGTGAGTTTGCACTCCTGAAAAGAGACAATCCATTGTTACTTGTGTCGTAAAGTGTTTTTCTCTTTCTTCTTCAACACATATATCTCAGCAAATCTCATCCAGAGGCGAAGCGTGAGAAGGAGCCCAAGAAGCCGGTGATCAAGAAGCCGCTGAACGCGTTCATGCTCTACATGAAAGAGATGCGGGCCAAAGTCATCGCTGAGTGCACGCTGAAGGAGAGCGCCGCCATCAACCAGATCCTGGGCCGACGGGTGCGTTCCCATCCGCTTCATCTGCTGTCAGGATTAGAGTCTGGGAGTGTTTCTGACGCGCGCGTGTGTGTGTGTTTGTGTGTAACAGTGGCACGCTCTGACCCGCGAGGAACAGGCCAAGTACTATGACCTGGCGCGGAAGGAGCGGCAGCTTCACATGCAGCTTTATCCCAGCTGGTCGGCCCGCGACAACTACGTAAGTGCTTCTCATTACTCTGAGGCTAAGTGAGGAAAATCAGGATCATTCTGACATGTGGGGAATAATCGTGAAGGAGGAGCAGATCCAGAGTCCAGTTGAAATAAATCTGCAATTAAATAAAATATACATTTTAGGTGATATTAGCTTCAGTTAGTTGCATAAGCAGGATTTCTAATTTGTGACCCTGCAGCACAAAAGCAGTGTTAAGTCGCTGGGGGATATTTGTAGCAATAGCCAACAATACATTGTGTGGATCAGAATTATAGATTTTTCTTTTATGCCAAAAATCATTAGGATATTAAGTAAAGATCATGTTCCATGAAGATATTATGTAAATGTCCTACCGTAAATATATCAAAACTTAATGTTTGATTAGTAATATGCATTGCTAAGAACTTCATTTGAACAACTTTAAAGATGATTTTCTCAATATTTAGATTTTTTTGCACCCTCAGATTCCAGATTTTCAAATAGAAAGATGGAAAGATTATTTATTCAGCTTTCATATGATGCATAAATCTCAATTTCAAAAAATTGACCCTTACGACTGGTTTTGTGCTCCAGGGTCACATTTCTTAAATTGAGGCATAAAAATTACTAACTAGAAATAAAATAAATAAAAAATCTAAAACTGAAATAAAAAAATTAATTAAATACAATTGAGCAATTAGAAAAAGAATAACAAAATTACAAAAAAATAACAAATTAAAATGAAAGTATAAAAATAAAGCAAATTCAAAATGTAATAGTATATAAATAGTATTAAAATAACATTGTGTTTTATTGTGCATGTTATTCCAATGGGGAATAAAACAGGATTGTCTTATTTAAAAAATTCAGTAACACTTTACATTAAGGTTTAATTTGTTAGCTTTAGTTAGTTTAACAGCATTTATTAATGTTAATGTTAATTTCAACACATTTTCCAAATCAAATGTGGCATCTGTTAACATTAGTTAATGCACTGTGAACTAACACGAACAAACTGTGTTTCTATCAACTAACATTAACAAAGATTAATAAATGCTTTAAAAATATATTGCTTGGGATTTATGGACCAGGAGGAAATTATGCTGGTTTTCTTCACTGATTTCACTGACGACTTCTCATATAACTCACTGAATATGGCATTAAATAGGAGTATTCCTGCTCAGATGAGCTGGAGCTGCTCTACAGTTCAATAGCTGTGTTTCCATCCATGTGTTTTTATGTGCATTTTGAGATATTGCTTAAAAAACGCTGGATGGAAACACCGAGATGTGTTTAAAATGTGCATAATTTTGTGTCAGATAAGAAAACACACATAAACTACAGTGACAACACCTCAAAATACAAAATAGTCATTTATTGTTTGTTATAAAGTCATATTATGTAGGAAAACAAGAGCAACATGTTTGCAACAATTCCCATTTTTATTAATGATGCTTCACGCTGTTTTCCCAGAAAGTGACGATTTTGTTCTTGTGAACACATGGAATGCAATATTCCTTTTTTATTAAATTTTTTTGCATTAATAAAATTTTCTTTAGAAGGAAACAGTTATTTGAATGTTGAAGATTATTTTCAAAGAATATATTTTCATAATATATAAATATGTAAAATTGTGTACTTGATACTTAATTAGGCGATATACAAATGTATAAAAAAATGTAAATAATAAATCTCTCTGTCAGAGATTAACACCGATGTAAATATGTAAATATTAAAACTTATTTTAGTTAGTTGCCAAAACAAGATTTCTAATTTCTAAAGTTGAGGCAATAACTGGAAAAAAATTAATAAAAAAAAAAAATCTAAAATATAATATATAATATAAATTAGTAATAAAAAAACAGAAACACATAAAAATGAAAACTGAAGGTATAAAAATAAAAGCTAATTAAATACATTAATAAAAACTATAATACCATATAAATATTATTAAATAAAAATAACACAGTTATGCATGTGTCTTATTGTGCATGTTACTCCAAAAATAAAACGGTTTGTAATCTTGATACTTGATAATTAATTTGATCATTTATAAATAATAAATAATTATTTGAACAAAAACACGTCCCAAAGATCCCAGAGATTTATGCACCAAATTATTCATTTTCATTCATCACAGCTACCTTTTTTCCTGTTTTGGTAACTTCAATATTTGAATATTTTCAGGAAGTAACATCTCTCTCTCAGAGATTGACACCCATCACATGTGAACAGATATTTCACCTGCATTTAGAGTAGTTCCCTACATGTAAACAGGAAACACACAGCCTACGCAAAGATATTAACTGCAGCGCTGCTGTGTGGATGTGTCTGTCCACACACACCATAGCTGGGAACACACACACACACACACACGCACGCACACACACACGCACACACACACACACACACACACACCATCAGCTTCTCATTAAGGCGTCACAATTCTCACACTACACACACACACAAACACACACACACACACACACACACACACACACGCACACACACACACACACAAAAACACAAACACACACACACACACAAACACACATACACACACACAAACACACATACACACACACATGCACACACACACAAAAACACAAACACACACACACACACACACACAAAAACACATACACACACACAAACACACACACACACAAACACAAACACACGCACACACACTCACACACACTCTCTCTCTCTCACACACACACACACACACACATTCACACATACACACAAACACACACACACAGTGTATTTGGGAAAGCAGGGGGTGGAAGAAAATAGAGACATGTGCAGAGATCATAGATTCACTCAGATTCAGGAGTTTACACTGAGTGACGTGTGTAATTAGTGTGTGTGTGTGTGTGTGTGTCTGTGTGAATATCTCACAATTCTGACTTTTTTTTTTCTCAGAATTCCGAGTTCATATCTCGCTATTCTGACTTTTTTTCCCTCAGAATTCCGAGTTCATATCTCGCAATTCTGACTTTTTTTCCCTCAGAATTCCGAGTTTATATCTCGCAATTCTGCCTTTTTTTCCCTGTCAGCGTGATCACGTCCTTCTCTCATCACCACAGGGCAAAAAGAAGCGAAGGAAACGAGACAAGCAGGACTCCAGCACAGGTACATGTGTGTGTGTGTGTTTTCACATGCTTAAGAGTGAGTTCTATACAGGTCACAGTCACATATTACATGAGGAACATTCTTCTGTTTCATAACCAAAAATATCAAAGATAAAACTGATCGTTGAAACTGAATTCTGACTGGATGAGCCACATTCGGAGCAGATGATCGCACACCTTTGACGCAACCTACAGCGACACAAGTGCACTATATTACTCAGCAGAAGAGCGTATATTTCTAATAAATGCTAATAATGCAGCTATTTATCGAACACTGGTGTCTTGACATCAGACTGCCGTTGCATCCCAGCCGTCATAATGAGATTATGCTGCTCATGAAAAGCCGTTCATTCAGACTGCATCTACTGCTCTGTCAACTTTTGATTAACCTGTATGTAAACTAAATTAATTCTATATATTTCTTATGCACCAGGGTTATTATCGTTAACTAAAACTATTTAAACGTTTTGGTTAATTGAAATAAACCTGCCATAAAATAAAACAATGATACTGAAACAGCGCTGGTGTGAGGGGATTGAGAGATGCACACTACTCTAGTTCAAATGAGTACAGACCGCGTAATTAAACCATGGCACTTTCTTTTGCTTTAGTTGCCAGTTGTACAACAGCAGCATTCAGTGTATGATGAATGACATTCAGAAATTGCTAGTAAATTTCACAAAGAATTACAAAGAAACAACACTGAAATAAACGTGAAATCTTGAACTAGAAAGACTGCAATAATATTTTTTTTGTAAAACAGTAATAACTTCAATAATCTTTGTATAAAAGCCCATTTCCACCACTGGATATGAAAAAAAAAAGACAATTGCGACTTTTTCCCCCCTCACAATTCCGAGTTTATATCTCCCTGGACCTTTTTCCTCAAATTCCGAGTTTATATCTCGCAGTTCTGACTTTTTTTTCCCTCAGAATTCCGAGTTCATATCTCGCAATTCTGACTTTTTTCCTCAAATTCCGAGTTTATATCTCGCAGTTCTGACTTTTTTTTCCCTCAGAATTCCGAGTTCATATCTCGCAATTCTGACTTTTTTTCCTCAAATTCC